GTAATTATCATTATTGTACAGCTAAGTTAACTTACAAGTAAATCATGTGATTTGGGTAGTTAAAGGTAACACCAGCGTGTAGCTGAATTAACTTTATAGTTCAACCCTTCAACCTAAATAAGTTATATTTAAAATAGCTATAATGTCAAAATCATTTTGTATTAAATATTGATTCTAATAATTGTATTAATAAATGAGTTAAATTAATCCAAGTAAATTATTATTAATTAACCCTTAATGGCCTTAATAAGTGTTTTGTTGTTAATTCAACACTTGATTTGTACGTGTGATAATTAACAATACAATCTATATTATTATGTTACCACAAGTCCAGAAACGTGAATATTTTGTTCTTATGTTTTGTTAAAAATGTATAATTCTATATTTCTATCACAGAAATAAAAATATTATATGATTGTAAATCCATTGTATAATCAACAATCAACAATATTTTATAAAATATTACAATTTACAATGATTGYACTTTAATTTTCTTGGGCTTTTTTTCCGTGGGTTTTTTTCTAACCGTGTTCGTCGTCGTAAAATATCGTTGTTTATTTTTAGACCATATAACATGGTCGGCAATGAGGCACAGCCGCGGCTCCCCTGACAAAGTGACAACACATCGCGGCGCACAGTTTGGGAACCTCTGGTCTAGACGGTAGTGAGTGGTGCTGTGTACCAACTACCCACTGGCCATTACAACGACAAGTTGTTGTATTTAATAATGTAATCACATCCTGAAAATTGTAACGCACCTGCCACCTGTCCTGTCCTGTCCTGTCCTCCAGCCATGTACTCGTATAAGTGCATTGCGCATGCATATCCCCACTCTCCACACGTCTGTTCGTTATTTTAATATCGTGTTTCGCGAGATTCGTACTGACTCACACAACACAGTCGCTCTTGATACAGTAAATTATCGAGTAAAATATTTAATCATAATACGCAAAACGCAATACATTCGTTTATGTTTAGGTAATAGGTTGGTGTTATTATTATCTTCGTCAGCCGCTGTTCGATCAATCAATTTACCATTTAGTAATTTACTCGTATGGACCAGTGTCTCGACTTCAGACGGACATCGGTACATCGGGTTCGACTGTAGGACTGTGAATTTGCCATTTGGCATTGTCTTTTCAATCGCGATATTCGTACACAGGTATCATCATCGTTGTCATCTAACCGGAAGTACGATTGACTAATAACAATGGAACGCTTAGCTGGTCGTGATGATGCTACTGAAGATGACGCCTGCTCTCCACAACGGGAAATTGATTGTAAAACGTAGTAATTTACCGTAGCCTCGAACGCATACATTAATTTCATGGAATTTTGTAAATATTTGTTGCTCACCATTTTCCTGTTTCAAATGGTAATTATATCCGCTAGGAAGATTTCTGTTGGCTTATACACATGCATTTATGTGATACAATTATGTTGTTATTACAGTAATATAAAATGTTTCATGTCAGTCTTGTATCCTTTGTGTTAGTAAGTTATTTATAATATTGGTATATTGTGCTAAGTAAAGTGAAACACTTCTGGTCTTTAAATAAATAAGTACCTACTTATATAAATGTATTACTATAGTTATAGCAAGTATGAAGTAGGTACTATTAATGTCTATGGTAATCATAAAATGTGTTAGGTATCAATGTTAGTAATCTATAAAATATAATAAGCATTGAACAATTTGGAAATTACAGATGTAATATCCATTTCCATCTTGTTTGTGATATCTCGGCCATCATTATTGACTAAGTCCCTCTTCACAATTACATGTATGTTGTATGCTGCATTTTTTGATTTACATTGTTAAAGTTCATAATATATATAATCACTACATCAGCATGACACATTTACAGATTTTTAGTTTGAAATCATGTTCATAGTGAATGATTTCTAACTTCCAAATTTATAAATGACATACTGAACAACCTTAATATAATATACCTATATGTTTATTAAAGACTATCCCAATGTTACGACATCAGAAATAATAAGGSCGATTCTTTTTTTTTAGCCTTTTTTTGTCTCATGCAAATATTGCCACTTTTATTCTTATGTATTATTAATTGAAGTATATACTAATGTAAACTATTAGGTATACTATTTATTTTATAATTAATGACATGGACCTTTTATGATTACTCAAATATACATCTATTTATTTCAGAATTCCACAATTCTTAAGATAATTTGGTACTTTTCTGTTATCCCTACTACCGCTCGATGCCACGACTACCACTCGATGCCGCGACTACCGCTTGACGTTTTATTGATAATTTTGATGACTTTTTGTTTTATATATAATAACTCTACTGTGATTATTTATGTGATTGCTAATAATAAATGTTATACTAATATACATTATTTCTTAAATGGTAATTCATGATGTGTATTATGTATTAAAATAGGAACTATATGGATAGTACTATGGTAGTCGAAACGACAGAATTGAGTTTGTCGCAGCATCAGCAAGGTAGTCGAGATAACAGAATTGAGAGTTGCGGTAGTAGGGATAACAGAAAAGTACCAATTATTTATTTATATGAAAAAAATAAATATTTCACTAATTAATATATAATTTATCATTTGCAGGTTTCAGTTGGAGCAAGACAAGCATTTGATTTTCTCGGATTTATGTGGGGATCAGTATTAGCAAATTTTTTTGAACTTTTGTTTATTATTTTTGGAATATTTGGTGTACTGCAATCAGATGTATTATACTTATTATCGGTATGTCACATTTTATTGATGCTTGATAAAATGTAGATTACATTATAATTTTATTAGTTATTAGTTGGCCCTTTTGATTTATTACTTATTTTATTATAGTATTCAGCATGGAGTATTGTTTGGTGTATTTGGAATATATTTGTAGTTTTATATTATTTGGAATTTTCAATTTTTAGTGATGTAAGTATGTTACCAATAAAGTTTAATTTTGCAATAATAAAATAAAAATCTTAGATTGTTTGTTTTTGATGTTATAAAATGTCTACAGTCATTTCAATTTGAAAAAAATGATTTATTACCTATTATATTATAGGGTTTTGATGTGATGAGTCTTGGTGCAAATAGTGTTAGTTGGTGGGAATCTAATGGTCCTGGTTGCAGAGTATTCTTTTATCCAAATCACACAGGCATTGAAGAAGATGCTATCAAGCCAGTTAGACCAGATTTGATCACTGGATGTGTTATGGATTATCAAAAAATTGAAACTGCTCAAGCGTCCTTACAAATACTTTTTGCTGTAAGTTTTTATTAATGCAATATTTAATTATATTTTTCCAACATTAACTTTTCTTTTTTTCTAGGTTTTTGGTATTCTTTGCAGCTTGTATGTATCATGTTGCTCAAAATCTAGAGATGAAGGTATGTTTATTATATACCTATAAATCAGAAAAATTAAACATGATAATAATTAATAATATGCAAATTTTATTTTTAGATTATGCGTATGACATTTTTAATTGCATTAGCGCTATACACACATTCATTGTAACTTACACATGCATTTAATCTCATGTATGYTTCATATTTTATTTTGGTAACAGCAGCTAAAATATTAAAAATGGACTATCTAACTTTTTAATTTTAATCTAAGTTATAATTAATAGAATATTCTCACATTCTGTTAAGAAATAATGTGATTGTCTTAGAGAATACCATTACACCATTTATTTCCTTTCTCTGACCCACATGGCAAGTTTTTCCTCTACATTTCCAATATAATTTTGTTGTTTTTTAATACATATTAGCGTGAATTAACCTATTATACAATTTAAACATATTTTTTTTTTTAATTCTTGTTAACTTATTTAATCTGATAATTATAAATTTACCATTTTATTAATGTACATAATCATTCAGAACACCAATAAGTGTCTACATTTTATATTCCGCATTATTCTAGGTTATGTTCCATGGTAAAATAAAAGAACAATAATATTTTTTAGTACCTATAGGCTATAATACACGATTTTGTTCGTTCAAGATAAGTTCCATCGTTCAAAAAAAATTGTGTTAAGATTTTAATTAAAAATGTTGGGTAATGGTTAATTTTAATCATAAAATGTGATAATTATTAAGTAAATTAATTATTAAAAATTAAAAACCTGTTAACTATTGGAAATTAATAGTTATAAATGATATTCGTTTAAGAGGACGCCACACCCGCATGTGTTGTCTCCGTCTTACAAACGTATAATATGGCAAAATCTGTTAAGCGCGGGACAACTTTTCTCCCTCAATATTTATAATAGAATTTTCAAAATTTCACAACGCATAGGTAAGAACTTTATCTGTGTCATAGCGTCGTTATTTTTTTGATAGCACAAACCAATAATTTTAAGTAATTTAATGAAAAATTAATGTATTTTCTTAAGCTTATAACTTTAATTATATTTATGTTATCAAAAAAATAACGACGGTATGACACAGATAAAGTTCTTACCTATGCATTGTGGAATTTTGGTAATTCTACTATAAATACAAAGGGAGTAAAGTTGTCCCGCGCTAAACAGATWTTGCTATGYTATACGTTTGTAAGACGGAGACAACACATGCGGGTGTGGCGTCCTCTTAAGAGAAACCAAATGTATGTTTGACATTATTTTAATTCATAGATTAAAGTAAAATGTGTTCGTCTTCCCAATATATAACAAAGGATCTGATTTTTGACACTACAGATTCTATTGCACTTAAAAAAAAAATTTTCTGTGTTTAATATAAATTAATTATTTTTTAGGAATTTACTACAAGAGTAAGCAACCAAAAACTATTACACCAATATACTCTATTGAATATAGTTCACGCCGAGGAGATGAAATTGAAGAAATAAGCACCATCAGTGGCAGTGAAGGTAAAATTCATTTGAAATAGTATTTTTTTTAAATTTATTATAAATTAATATTATTTATATTAATGGCACTTCATACCAGATGGTGATTTAGATCCACAAAATTCTCATACTAAACCCATGACACCTAGACGAGTAAAACGAAGAAGTGTAACATCAAGGGGTACTCTACCTCCTCCACATCAAGCGCCACCGCCATATCTTAGACGACAATCTAGCTCTCAATATTCTAGTCGAAAACATAAAAATCCTGTTTCTAGACTTATCCAACAACAGTATTCAAGTATGTGAATAAATAGTTATTAATTGTGTTATTACCTCTGTATTTATTATTTAATAAACTTAAAATTTTTTTTTAGATAATGGTTTGAACGATTCTTCAACATCTAATGATTCAAGTCATCCATTGTTCCCAGAATGTCGAGTTGAATTAAGACATGTCAACAGAGGCATTGTAAATCCTGCCTTAGACACAGAATCTGAACGTCCAACATCAGCGCGTTCAACATACTCAAATTTCCACGGAGCACGAGGTCGGCCCAGACAAGTTAACACTCATTCCACTTTTTTTGCCCCATCAGATCAACCTCCACCAGCTTATCGTAGTAATGCTTCTGTTAATTCAGAAACTGTTATATAACTAGAACAAATGTAGAAAAAAGTTCAAAGTAGATACAATTTTAAGATCTCATTTTTGTTTTAATTATGTTACTACTTGTCTTAATGTAACTAAAAAAATGTATGGTAATTTATAATGCTACCTTCATTTTTTAAATGTGCTTATTTTTCTTATGTGTGTTCAATGATTTTTTTTAAAAAAAATAAGAGGCTAAAAGACACTTATTCCTACTATTTTACACTAAGATAATTGAATTATAGCAATATGATTAGAACAATGAATATACTTAAGTTTCAAAAGTTATTTTTCTAGAAATCATATACACTATATAGTAAACAGATTTTGTTATTATCTTGTAGTAACTATTATTAGCAAATTGCAGTTAGAAAAATTACAATTATTATTTCAAATATCATAATTTTAGTAAATTATATTAAAATTATAATAAATACTAAATAAGTATGGAAATGATTCTTAGTGAAAAATAAACTCAAGCTAATATTTTTTTTAAAAATGAAATAACAAAAAGTTAAATTGTTAAATGTAGAAAAAAAATGCATTTAGTTTGTTTGTAATATATCAAACTATGTAACTGTTAAATTTTCGTTTTTTTTTTTTTAATTTTAATAATTGGTACGCAATATTTATATTTAATTATTGATAGATTTTCTCAATGAAAATTTGTTTATATAAATTTGAAAAAATTAAAAATATTATGACGGCACATATTGAAAACAAATATGTACATTTTTAGAATATCTACAAATATTTTCATTGAATTGTTAAATTACTAAGATTAAATTAAAATGAGTTCTGTATTATAAAGTTAAATTAAATTAATGATTCTGATGATTTATATGTTTTCAGTGACTCAATTTAATTCAAAACATTTTACCTTAAAGTAATGAATTTAAAATCCAAGATTGTTTTTATGTAATATAATATTATTATTTATCAACTTTTTCTTATTGGATTAAAAAAAAATTTATGTATCAAAGTATAAAATAAAAGGGTTAATTTAAACAACGAAGTATTAATGGTGATCATTATTATTGCAATTTTCAAATCTGGCTATAGTTTTTATTTTTTACAATATATGTTTTCTTAGTATATACCAAAACTTGAAAGTGTTTATTATGATTGACTAAAATTTAGATAGTTCCTGTTATTAAACACAGTTAACGATAGAATTGCCAGTGTATAATTAATATAAATTGATGTATCATACATTGTGTCCTCTACTAGGTATATATGTTATTATATATTTAAAATAACAGCTCAAATAGTTTTTTCWAAAGTTAGTCAAGACTTGAGTTAATCAATTTTTAATTGACATTACTGTCACTTAAAAACTAAAATTATTTTGAATTATTAGATTTAAGAGGATGGTAGTTAACTATTTATTTTCTGCCTAACTCATGCGYAACACGTAAAATTTCTTTCTAAGTTCATTCATTTTTGTATCAGAATGAATTTGATTTATTATCAATCTTAAACAACTAAGTTTGAACATATCTGTGTTTGTACATTGGCTTTTATATAATTTTTCATTTTGTTTGTGATATTTTACATACTCATAACATTCATACATATTTTTTCCTTGTGTGTTTGGTAATAGATCAATTCACCTTTAATTATTTAACTAACAATAGAAAATTGTCCACGTTAGTTGTGTCTATGAGTCACAGAAAAAATAAATAGTGCGTTGAAATTCTAATAAATTATAGAGTATTTCTTACTATAATTTAAAAATATTTCATTAGTTGTAACATGTATTAAATATTCATACAGTTAGTTCAAATTTCAATATTTTAGTTATACAACTCTTACCGAATTAAAATTCAAAGTATATGTATGATTCTAAATATATTTTTATATAAGTGTATCAAATTTAAATTCTTATTTTTAATGTATTTATATAAGATTAATATGGAAGTTTATAGGATTTGATGGTTAAAAAAATTGGAGTCTTATTTTTAATGTATTTAATATAATCTGCTAATTAAAATAATGCTAAAATTATATACTTGTTGATAAAAAGTTTTCTTAAAACAAATTAATAATTACAACAAACTTCTTTGTCCAAGTATCAAAATAAAGCAGGAAGACATAACATCGTTTTACAATGATTTCACCTTTATCAGAACATTTGTGTTCCGTCCACTTTTTGTAACTTTAGAATAAGTATAATTTTTAAATATGTAAAAAAATTTTTTATACCTTTGTTTTATTAAACTGTTCAGATAAATTATGAATGAGAAGTTTATAATTTAACATTCTACCTATGTATTTAAATATTTAATTTAAATGACGAATTTGTTTTTAAAGTGTTAACTAGCCTAATATTGTACAAAACAACTGATGTTTATTCAAGTGTTTTAAAAAAAATTATTTAGATAGGTTTTTTTTTTTAATTTTCAATTATTTTCATCTCATTTTGAAATAAAATTAGAGTATTATGTCTTATGCTTAAAATTTTTAAATCATACTTCAGTATTTATATTATWTGTAATAATTAATGATGTTAAATATTAAGGTTTTAAACACAATGTGAGATTTACCTAAACTCGGTAGTATGTACATTCCAAAATACTGTTTAGAATGCTTTAGTTATGATATATAAGCAAACAGAATTTCATATTAACCTTCCTAAATTTTAATCACTAACGCAAATAAATATTTAAACATTTATTGACAAATAAAAATATATGTTAGTAGTAAATTGTATTTTATGTACAAGTAAATACCAAATAATATATTCAAAGCTTTTATTTATGAAACTTAACATATAATTCAAAAAAGATACTTAGTTTACACAATATCTAATCAGTCTACTTATATTTAAACACCTTAACAAAAATATTTGAATATAAACTGTTTTGTCGTTCAGTGAATTAATGAAATAAATAAATATAGGGAAGACAAACACAATTACTTGTAGTTAATAGGTGTAAATAAGTAGGTACATTGTTTTATAAAAAATGTATTATTTAATGAACCATTTTAACAATTAATTAAGCCAAATAATTGTGATATATTTTTTTAAGATTCTTTTCTAACTTGGTGTATTTGTTTTTTGTTGCAATATACTGTATGTACTTAAAATTGTATGTTATATTATTTTTTCAAAATAAACAAGCTTATCAAAATTTTTCATTGTTGTGTATTGTAGTTTTAACCATTGATTATGAATACTTAATATTACTGCTAAATATTATGTTATTACTATTTAATATAAGATCAAATTATATAACCTTATTATATATTACACCATAGTATTATAATGAGATAAATTGTTAAAAAAAAAAAAAAAAAAAAACAATTAGATGTAATTGAATATTAATATATAAATGTATGAAATTTTGTTCAACATCCAATATGCAGGTTATGAGCTAAGTCATTGATAACCTGCCGCTGTAACTGCTATAAATGATCCACGTCAGCCATGGTTATGCCTTTCCAGGCTATTGTAATACAGTAGTGTTGTAACAATTGTTGAAGCAGTTCCAGTTCATCTAGCATTTCTAATCTTTCCATACGATATTTATCTTCTTCAGGCAAGTATTCATATACATTTATCATATTCCAACTTCGTGCGCTATCCCAACCAACTCTTACAAATCTATTTGACAAATAAAATATAAATATCTTTTAATTATTTTAAATAATGATTGAATGCTCACTCATACCTGTCCATTTGGGTTTGAGGGCTTAAACATGCATCAACACCAGCTAACTGACATCCTCTATTACGTAAGTTATCAAGCATGATTCTTCCAAAATTATCATTCATATTAACCTAAACAATCAATATTTACATTATAGACAATTTTATCTAGGTATAGAGCAGCGTTTCCCAAACTTTTTGCAAAAGCAACCCATAAATTGGATCTTTATTAGGTACGCGACCCCCAGCTAAATTTTAACATTGAGTTTTTTATAAAATACAATACAAATACAATATACTGAATAATAATAACTTAGTAAATATATATATATAAAAAAAAAATTAGTATAATAGAAAATTGCTTAATTTTGTATAGATTATAGAATTATAGAGTATGAAATAAAATATAACATGAGTATTTGTCAATTGCTAAAATAACTGCAATCGTAAGTGCGAGTACCCAACAAAAATTTTTGCGACCCATGGTTTGGGAAACGCTGGTATAGAGAACTTCAATWTTTTACTTGTTCATAATTAATAAAAAAAATGTCGTCAAACTTCTTAGCAATCCAGTGCAATAACATTGATGAACTTTCTGGCTCCATATAGACAAGAACGCATTCAGTTAAAAACATTGTGGGAACATCAAAWTGTATGCCACTTTGAGTTAATTTCTTATCTAGTTCTGTCAGATTTCGAAGATCTGCTCCAATTATGTGATAATCAGGTGCATGTAAATCTGGTCCTATGATTTTGACTTCACCCTCTATATAATTAATAATTAGAGATTAATAAAAATAAATGTTGTACCAATAGTCATCAATTATTAGTCAACATACCGTGGGGACTAATGGTCTGTAATAAAATTTTATTTTTTTTTATTAAAAAACATTTTTTTGATGTAACTGAAGCAAAGTCAATTTCAATATAACTGTTAACTGTTATTCCACTATTTTTCAGTCTCCAGTAGAGAGTGTCGAACCCAGCACCAAGGTTAATGATTTGACAGTTTGATCCAGTTTTCTACAAAAACATAAAATTAAAAGTATTTAGATTAAACAATCAAGTGATGACTGCACTTATAAAGTATAGTTGATCATTATTCTTTGGAAATCTTCTTGAAGAATAAAAAAAAAAATACCTTTAAAAATTTGTCCATAAACATGGCGACACCTTTAGTACGAGCATAATATCCTCGATTAATCTCCGGCGTTTTACGTTCGTAGCCGGTAACAAAATACTGTATGAAATCATCTTGCCAATAGCCCATCTTCACAGCTGAATACTTGCACTTTGTCGCATCGCAGTTGGTTGCTTGCACTCCATCATCGAAAGACATATTTTAACTTCGGTAGATTAACAGTCAATTTGGATGTGTTACTGTAACTTAAATGTAAATATTCTGCAACACCAGAGATGGATACAAGCACATTGTGGAAAACAACGTTGGAATCTATCCAATAAAAATCATTCAATTGTGTTGAAAAAGTGAACCCAGAAAATCAGTTTGATTATTGAAAATCGAAATAAACACTAAAGATAATTGAATCTAGCATTAACCCTCAAACACCACAAGAGAGATTAATTGCAAATGCTACATTACAAATCCCAATTCTATGAATTTCCCATTTTCGATGTCTGTGTGACTATAATACTCATAAAACCTAATTTGTCTGATTTGTCTACACTATACTCCAGATTGCAATAGTTCAGTGGGCCAGTTGAATACTTTAAATTTTTTGTTACAATGCCTTATTGCTTAAATTTCAGACATTTCAATATTCACTATTCAATGTTCAATGTTATTGTATATAATTGTTGTTATCGTCTGACGTCTATCAACTGATTCATATTTCATACTACAGAATTTCACGGAATATAACCACAGCTGATTAGTGATTATATAATTATCTGTGATAAAAGTATATAACCACAGAATAGATTTAATCTATTCTGTGATATAACCATTAACCACACGGTCCACACCACTATCACGGAATAAATAAAATAATATTAATAATATTAATATTATTATGATCTAAAAATATAATAGTATTACCACATATTATTTAAAATGTTTTATATAATCTGTGGTATTACTACGATTTAAAAATATCTTGAAGTATAGCCAAGGTTGGGTACTGAGTACTGACTAGTGACTACTGATTTGAGTGATTTGTGACTTGTGTTTTGTGTATTCATCAGTAATCTGAAATATCTTATCATAAAACAGTTTTGCGCATGCGTAGTGATGACTTCGGGCCCGAACTGCTGCTATGCTTCAAGATTTTAAATCATAGCTCTATTGCTCTAATGCTCTATCCACTATCCAGTGTGGCAGACCGCACTACCGCAGACGGCTGTGTGGCAATGGTCGAAGTTCCGAGGTGCATAAAGCCAGAAACCACGACCGCCAGCTGGTGTGAAAAAATGATGGCCCAACTTCAAATTTATCACATCTACCAGAATGCGCTCTGGTTCTGGTTAATTAATAATTATTAATTATGATCTTGATTTATGATTCGTAATGTTTTTAGTTTTTACAAGAACTATTAAGTCTATAAAAAAAGTTGGCCAATGCCATTGACCATTGGCAATACTCTGTATCGTTTAAAAAAAAAATCAATGTTATGGTTACGAATTAAAATACACTTTTTAATTCATGGATATGATATTATGTCAGAATAAGCGAGTTATATATAGTTTAAAATTTAGAGTGAATTGACTTCATATAAAATTAAATGTTATATTATTATTTATTATCTACCTAGGTTATTACACGGGCTTTTTATTACATTTATTTTAATTTTAAAGCGATTTATGAGTATTTTTAAAATTGAAAATTGTGTATCTTAAAATACTCATTACTCACTTTAAAATTTAAATATAATAAAAAGACCGAATGACAACTCAGATAATGATGTTATCTTTAATTTTTAAAAGTGGTCAATTCACTCTAAATTGTAAACTAGTGGAGCTAAACGTGAATTGCTGAACGTAAAATGTTCAATGTTCCGCAGTTGTATGACAGAGACAACACAAGCGTGTGGCGTCCTTTTAAACTGTGTTGTACACATGGACATATAAATATATAACATATATTTATATGTCTATGGTTGTACAAAATGTACACTACTATAATATACACTGAAGAAGTAAAGTCCAAACCTGAAAAAAATTATATTTACCATAAAATTCTTAATCTATTTTCTAATCAGCCCATTTAATTGTAGCCATTTTAGGTAACATAGTAGTGGGAGGTCATAGATAATATATTAAGTTGTTAATTAATTATTTTGATAATCTTATAATATTATAGACTTTAGTCGTACGAGTACGACTGTTTTCTGCTACCCGATTGGCGATTGTAAATTTTTATTTATTTTTTCATTGTTACCTTGAACAACTTATTCAGAACAAGTAGTTTTTTAATCGTTTAATATTGATAAGATGATATTAAATGTTTTATAATATGTCCATGGTGCCAAGTGCTCACTGAATATAATAAGTAATAATTTACAACCAGTATTCAGTACGACAGTACCTATTCTGCAGTCTTGTACTCAATAACATCTTGAATTGCTGTTTACTTATAATTTTTAAGTGAAAGGAGCAATAGTCATTTTATCTATTGTAAGTTTAGTTAAGAACTTTTTATTTTATATTTTTATATGTTTTTCAACATTTTATTTTCATTTTAAACTTTTAGTACCAACTTCTTCACAATGGTAAAAGCATGGTTCATGGCAGAAAGTTGGAGCGGTGATCAACGTGAAGAACACCACATGCAGCCACCCAAATTTGTTGATCTGGATACTTTATATAAACTCACCTTAGTGGAACATTTCAAAGTATCTAATAATATACCTAAATGATTAGTTAATTTAATAACTTCCCAATAGATTACCAAATGGTATTTTCTGTGTAGGCTCTCCTAAATTTTGATTTTCAATAAGAAACTATTTTTTAATGTTTACAATCATATTTTTATAATATCTTGTGTTAAAGTAGGTAAATGGTAGAAAGTTGAAATAGTTTTWGTACCTACAATATTATTTAATATGATTTAATGATTGTTACTTTAATATAATACACTATTCTTTTATTTAATCTTAAAAATATTTAAGACTAAATGAATGTTGAACAGTTAAAAAAACTTATCTATATTAAATTATCAAATTTTCAAGTTATAATAATGAGTAATACTTAATTTAATACCAAAAATTGGTGTTTTACAATATTTTCTATATAATACTTAAAATCGTTTAATGAGTGTTGTATTTTTCCCCCAATCGATTAAATATCTTCAGTACCTAATTGATAGTTACATTTTTAATCGTTTGCAGATTAATGAATTAGATCCTACCAATGATAAACTGTTAAACTCCATCAAGAAAGATAGAGGTTACTCTTACGAGGATGAGATAACATGTTCTAAAGAATGCTTACCAAACTATGAAAGTAAAGTAGGTGCATAGTGTAAATTGTTAAATAAATAAAATTAATTTTGTTCACATAAATTTTAATAAAAATCATCTGAATATCAATTACTCTGTTTTATATAGAATACAAAAATATATATACTGTGTGTCCGCGGAAACAGGGTACACTTTACCACTCATTACCCTGTACATATTTTTCAATTCTGTTTTCGGGACATTAAATTAGACTATTGGATCTTTAATTTCAATGACTTACAATTTTTTTTTACTCACATATTTTACGCATGCGCAACACAACTTTACTTTACTTACTAACCTTTAAATGGCAACCCCTATTTTGAATATCATTTTCGGATTAATGGATTTTTTTTAAAGTAATTTTGATCTAACAACTACTACTCTCAATCCAATATTGACCGAATGAGAGCGATTTAAAATTTAAAAAAAAAAAACATTAAAAAATTATTTTGTTAACATTTATTTTTTAATTTTAATTTTATTATTTTAAACTTAACTACATATTTTTTATTTACAATTCAATTTACAAAAATCACTAACATAAGTTACTCGATAAATTGTTCGAAAGTCCCTCCATTATTTAAAACGCTCATTCGGTCAATATTGGATTGAGAGTAGTAGTTGTTAGATCAAAATTACTTAAAAAAAATCCATTAATCCGAAAATGATATTCAAAATAGGGGTTGCCATTTAAAAAAAGTGAAGTTGTGTTGCGCATGCGTAAAATATGTGAGTAAAAAAAATTGTAAGTCATCGAAATTAAAGATCCAATAGTTTAATTTAATGTCCCGAAAACAGAATTGAAAAATATGTACAGGCCGGTAATGAGTGGTAAAGTGTACCCTGTTTCTGCGGACACACGGTATATAATAAAAAAATTTTTTAGTTAAAAATGTTCTTTGAGGAGCATTTACATACAGATGAAGAAATTCGATTGGTTTTGGAAGGCTCAGGCTACTTTGATGTTAGAGATGGTGTGAATGACAAATGGATACGTATTAAAGTCGAACCTGGTGATTTGTTAATCATTCCAAAAGGAATCTATCATCGTTTCACATTAGATACTAATGTATGTATAATAATATATGAACATCTTTGATGATAAAAGTGTGATTTGATTTACATTGGTTCATACAAAATAATGCCCTTAATATATATATTACAGAGAATAGTGCTATTTTTTTTACCAAACTAAAATCATAAAACCTTAAATATTTATCTAAAAGCTATTTTTAAAATATAAAGATGTAGAAACAAGTTTTAATCTGTTAGACCTTTTACTCATAGGCTATACCAAATATATTGTTAGTTGTGTGTTGATATGGCGTTTAGTATATTAAAAATATATAATATACATGGGCCATTTTTGGCCTACCGGAAAATTTTAAAAAGGGGCCCCCACATGAAATTTTTTTTAATAACATATGATATTAAAGGGCCCCATTACCGAAATATGAAGGAGGCCCACTGGGAAATGCCCGGTTGCCCGGTAGGCCTATCCGCCTATATAAATATATATGTTGTATAAATAAGGCGCCAATAAGCGCCATATGTCTTGGTATGGTAGAAATGTAAAAAGATGAAGAGGGTCTATTAGTAAAATCCAAAAGGTCTATGGTTATAACTTATAACTAAATTTTAATTATTTTCCCATTTATATTGGATGATGTTTGTGCATCAGTAATTAATACCAAAAAAATAAATATTTTTTTGATGAAATGTCAATTATTTGTAATCTTAAAAATGTAAGGTAACACATATTATATTTTTTATTTTTATTTTTAGAATTTTATCAAAGCCAAAAGATTCTTTGTTGGAGAACCAGTCTGGACACCACATAATAGACCAGCAGATGATATGAATTGCAGAAAAGAATATTTAAATCAAATAATATCTTGTTGAATAAGAAAACCCATAAATATACACATATAACAATGTTGTGATGTTAATTATTCAATTTCCATATTGTTTTATTAAATATTTTATTTTCATATAGTTAAAACATTTTCATTTAAAAAAAAGCTAGTGTATTGTATTTAAAATATTGTGTAAACTAAGTGTACCTACCTAAATAATTTGGAATATTTTATTAAACTTACTGATTCATAGCATTTCCTAACTCAGTTTTATTAATTACTCATTGATAGGGCTCGGATTTCAATGCATTTGCATCTTTTTTTTTTGGGATATCTTACGCGATGCTTTCCAAGCTACAAATATGTTTCAAGTACTTTGCAATCTAACCACAATAATTTATTGGGGCATTTGCTTTTTTTTGCATTTTTAGCGGATTTCATCATTTTTAGGGCATTTTTTGACGGTTTTAATGCATTTTTTAATTTTTTAGTACATTTTTGACCTATTTGTCGTATTATGACTAAAAAAATTGACCTCATTATTGAAATATAAATACTACATAGTAATATAGTACTACGTAATAAAAATTATTTTCATTTTGAACTATTTGAACTAATTTAACATCAGGTTTTCCGGTTTTTACAACCTTTATGTCACACCATCCAATTAGCCGATATTATTGCACMCMAYTAAAYTTTTATCGGATTATTTTCTTATCGAGCGATAATATTATATCGGTGGTGTGCGTTTAATAAATAATGCATTTTTTGAAACATCATTTTTTGATATATTTAGGGCATTTTTTAGAGTTTTTAGGTCATAAATGCATTTTTTGAAAGGGCATTTTTTTGATATTTTTAGGGCATTTAAATCCGAGCCCTACTCAATGACATTAAATAATATTATTGTAACTTTAAAATAAAATATGTTTTTGCATTAAAACATTTTTATTTGTATTTATACTATAGTGTAGTACAGGGTGGTCAAGAAAAGGCGGATACATTTAAAAACTCTGTCAAATTGTTAAATTTGATCATATTGGGTTGAAAGTAAAAAGAATCTGTATAGGAACATGGTAATTTTTATTTACAAAACGAAAAAAATAAAAAATGTTTGAGTGTGAAAAATTATTTCATTTAAATGATGTTCCCTGGCTTCCGCGGTCCCCGATATCACTCCCTGTAAAGTAAAAAGTGTATGTGGACAAACCACCAAGAAACATTCAGGAGTTGAAGGAGTTAATTAGACGTGAAATTGTCGAAATTCTGGACGATATGGTGAAGAAAGTGATGGGCAAGKGGCAACTTCAGGGACCGTCTTGAGCAGTGCATCGCCGAAGAGGATCGTCATTTAAATGAAATAATTTTTCACAACATTTTGGTACTTTTCGGTTATCGTACCCCAACGGTCGGCCGGCCGACTGCGGCGGCGGTCGGGATATACCGATTCCGTTCTCGTACCCCATTATATTTATCTAAATATTGTCAAGTTTTATTGCCATATGAATAAATAAATATTTGCCAAAAATGTAATTTATTTTAATAAAATAATATGATATGAAATTATATGAGTACAAAGAAATTATAATAAAATATGAATACTAATAAAGTATAATAAAACATCAATACAAAAACAAATTATTAAAAAGTATTAATACCAATACAATATGAATACCAAAAAAATTATTGTAAATAAAAAATATTTTAATGATGGAAGCATTGAGATAAATATAATGGGGTACGATGGTGGAATCGGTATATCCCGACCGCCGCCGCAGTCGGCCGGCTGACCGTTGGGGGTACGATAACCGAAAAGTACCAACATTTTTTATTTTTTTCAAAAATAAATTTTTAATTTAGCTCCTTGCTAAAACTAATTTATCTTAATCCAATAAATTATTACATAACATCTAATTAAAATTGATGGTCTTAGGACAGAAAATATGCACATTTATAATTTTAATTTTGTAATTGATTACAAATGCATTTTGTAACCAACGAATAATGTCAATGCCTAATTAGTTTTTATTGTTTGTTTATAGGGTTCCTCAATTTTATTTTTACTTACAGGCATATCACACCCATCACCCATGWTTAATATGAATCAGAAATGTGGAAGTTAATTTTAGCATAATTTAGCATAATATAGTTTCTCTAATCATAATATAACAATACAATTTAGCATTTACTTTTTATGAAAACATTGACAATACTCTCGGGTAAATATGAAATAACAAGTAAAATATTTAAGAGAACTGCCAAATATAAATTCCTATTATAAAGAAATCCATCATCTGAAATATAAAATGTGAGTTTAAGTTTTTAATGAGAAACATAATAATAATTATCTTACAAAAATAAATGTTATGTTTCTTAGGGTATGACCATTCTTTTTACAAAGCAAAAAAAAAATGTTTTTATGGTAGGTAACTAATAATTATGTTGATAGACGTATTGTGTATAGACCATTAGATAAAAATATTTTTAACTGATCTGATTTTGATATTTTCTATTGATGTTGATGACATTTTGACATCTGATATCATTCATATTATTGGAGGTGTAAGAAAATAGAATTCATGATTTTTGATGATGCTATAAAATAAAATAACATTGTACTCAGGACTGTAATTGCATAATGTGATATAGATAGCACTGCTATCATAGCAGTGTCATTTGGAATCTAAGTAAACTAAGCGGCCATGATCACGTATAAAACGTCAATTTTTACAAGCTCATCCTTGCTCTGGCGAGTCTATTGTAGTCATCTGATTGAGAAAATGAGACACAGCTTCAGCATACATCTGCGACGGATTAGCTCCAGAACACTTTGCAGTCTTTTTAATTTTATTGATGGCTTTTGCAACATAAATTATTGCTGGTTCAGCTGGGTGCTCATGCATTACTTTGAGTACTGGTTGTGTTAAAAATATAGTGGTGTGGAGAATAGTTGGGCAGTTTAAAGAACCAACTCTTTTTACTACATCTCCATGTATAATATTTTTTACCCGCGTATTTCATAACGAACAAATTGCCTTTAAACGCTATTTTGACTTTTTTTTATTAGATGTAATTATTTCCATAATTAAATACAAAAACTAACTCGAAAAACTTGAAAATGACAACTTAAAAGCTTAAACTAAAGTTTAAACACGACAATTCAATGACTTCAGTTCGATGAAATACCTATGTTATACGACTACACTGTGTAATTACTAAATAATCTATATAATAACTAGCCACTAGGTAATACCACTAATACCTACAATAAAATGATGCAGATGTGCCTGACGTCTGTATAATCTTAACAGTCTAAATAAGTCAAACAACTTTTAGGGCCGACTTTGGCACTTTGTATGAATGAGGTACCTAATATACTCGTATACAATAATGCAATTGAATAACGTATAGCCCAGTAGCCCAGTGTGCCTTTTTAATCTTAATGATAGTTCTATGCCTCTATTGTATCTTTATGACCATATATACAATATATACACAAATTATAGCATATAGCCATATATGTATAGGTACAAAATATAAGATATAGAATATGAGCTATCATAGTTTTATACTAATAGGTAGCTAATAAAAAAAAAAAAAATAGAATGTTAATTGAATGATGTTAACTAAAATTTCCCAACACGGAAATACTACTCCCAAAACATAATAGCATAACAAAGTTAAGCTGTTTTATATATATATTTAAATATGAACAATTTAAATATAAATATATATATATATATAATTTTTAATTATTCAAAATTTACAAATTTGTTACGAAAGTATTCAACAGATAGAACACACGGGCAGTTGAATTATTGATCTACATTTTAAATTAGAAAATTAAAACTTATGTCTAATGAAACATGACATAATAATAATATAATATGGTAAAATATAAAAATTTGGTTTTTATTTTCATGGTTTTTTTTTCGTTTAGTTTTTTCCCGTGGTCTTTTATTCCTTTAGTTTTTAATTGTTTGTTTTTTTTTTTTTTTTGGTTTATTTCGTTGGTTTTTTTTCCAATGATTCATAATAACTGTTCTACAGCAGGTTTATTTGAGATACTTACCATAAAATATTGAAAAGAATCTACTGAATTCACTGAATGTTTTGTTGAAGATTGTATATATTTGTATGTTCAATATGCATCAATACTATTGATATAAAACATAATTATAACTATTTAAATTGACTTATTGATATTCGAGTTGAAAAATATTCAAATCATGCGTTCAAAAGTGATAGATATATTCATATTCAATGACGGCCATGACGCCGTATCCGAGGGAGGTAGCCTACAACGGATAACCAATTCGGATATTTGTGCGAGTAATAATTGCAAGATTTCATCCAATGATTCAATAGGATAAATCAAAAATTCAAAGCTTTTGTAAAGTTCTCAGCGATAATTAAATAGCTATAACATTTAACAGCTCTAATAACAGAAGTTCAGAGTGCTCAGAAAGTTGTGAATAGGTAAGTTAGAAAAGTACTAATAGGAAGCTAAATTGATACTTTTCAAACTACTATACCGTAAAAACTCGCCAAAATAAAAATGAAATAATTTGAAGGTGATATAATATTACGTATACCTAGGCACCTAGGTATATCATCGCAATGACTGCTTCTATGTATTATGTAGTTCAGTCGTTACAGTGTTATATACACTACACAACATCTCTATAAGTATTATGTATGTATTTTTAGTCTACGAGCTTTTTGTTTATACTTAATTATTCATTTTTTGTTTTGTATACGCACATAACAAGCTGTCATAGTTAACACATTACACAGGTAAAAAAGTTGTCAAAGATCCAAACGTGCGTTATTTTCCTAATATATTCCTACTAAACCGGAGCAGCTTGTTGGTATAGTAGATAAAAACCGTAACGTCCTACATATACAGTATTTAAGACAAACTTGTCAGTTGTCATATTATATGTCTATTTATTTTTGAATTTGTGTATTCTCTGTCAGTCTATTCTTTTTTAATTTTGGCAAGGATTTAACTATTACAGTATTACCTATAGCTATTCGATAGATACTCGTTCAACCAGTGCGTCATCCTAATCAACTT